TTGAGTAGCGAAAGTGAGTTGTGATTGGTTCGCTCAACTTCCCAGCGTAAGCACTTGATTGGATAAAAAGCCATCCAAGGGAGGTAATAAAATCATCGCCCCAAGCCATGGATGCATCCAGGGTATAGTGGAGAGTGATCGTAAAGTATACCCTGGAGATTATCGAGGATGACTGCAGTATAGGCCTATGACAACTGCTGCACCGGAGACCACAGGACGTCTGTGCCCCATACTGCAGTATAGGCCTATGACCACTGCTGCACCGGAGACCACAGGAACATCTGTGCCCCATACTGCAGTGTAGACCTATGACCACTGCTGCACCGGAGACCACAGGAACATCTGTGCCCCATACAGCAGTATAGACCTATGACCACTGCTCTACCCGAGACCACAGGAACATCTGTGCCCCATACAGCAGTATAGACCTATGACCACTGTGGTGCTCGGATCACTTTGTGTAACAGGGCCTTGTCACCTGCTACTAAAATAATTCCTTGGGATCCTCAAGAAATATTTCAGCCTTATCATGATGGGGGACACCAGAAATAGGCTTCACCCATCGCACCTTTGAGGGGAGTCGAACCCAGGTCATCGGTGTGATGAGTTAATTGTTTGAACACTAGGCTACCCGACAAGGATTTTTAAATAAGCCTTTGTGTACATATAAACTCAATGCATGTTAAACACTTTAAGTATGAAAATACTTAAATCAAACTTGATTATTTTCACTTACTTTGTCAGTTTTCCCAAATACATTTTTTAAATATTTTTTTTTATTCATTCCCATAGTTACATAGATGCAAACATATTATTGTAACAGAAATGAGTGAGTGAGCGTGTAACGCCGCTTTTAGGAACACTCCAGTAATATCATGGGCATCAGAGACAGGTCCACACACAGTACCCATATGGGGAATAGAACCGGGTCAACCACTCAACCACTGGGCTACTCTGCCGCCTCAGTAACAGAAGCAATATACAAGTAAAATACGCTGACACATACCCGCTTCTATAGGGTGGTTGAACATAGTCAATGATTGAGATATGGGGTGGAAGGTAACCTTTTTTTTTCAAAATTTATATGGTTTAGTATTTTGTTGGCTGGTGAAGTACCAAACCAAACCTGATATTTTGTTATTATGATTTCTTTGTTGAGGTATTTATTGATCCAGATCTCAAGCTCATTCCAAAATGTCTTGGTTTCCTTACAATTCCAATATACATGACAGATTGTTTCCTGTAGGTCATTACAAAACTGCATATGTCAGAATCTATTAGCTTCATTTTCAAAGCTCCCTTTTGGAATATATTATTCCATGTAACAATTTAAACTGAAAATCAAGAAGTTTAACATCTTTTAAACCATAGAAACTCAATGCATGTTAAACACTTTAAATATAAAACACTTAAATCAAACTTGATTATTTTCACTTACTTTGTCAGTTTTCCCAAATACGTAATCTGAATGTTGTACCCTACAACCTAATGTGGTAAACAAGTGCATGACAACTTGACAACTGATCATGACCTCAATCTGTAACAAGAGCAACAGGGTAGAGAGGAAAGCCCTCATTCAAATTAACAGGGACTGTAAAAACATTTGTGAAGATTAAAAAGAAACAAAATATATGGCCACTTTCTGCTGGTGTAAACACACTGTTGTGACACATGCATGTGGGTCAGTGACGTGTGTACACTTGTTACCAGCCAACACACACAGTACTCAACATGTTCTTGCATGTATCTCTCACATGACCTGGACTAACAGTTCCCAAAATACAGTGAACCGCAGTGAACACATGCCCCCAACTAGTGGCTCAATACAGAAATATAATACGTATGTCCATGTGTATTAAGCTATGTACAAAAATGTTGTGTGGAATGTGCACATATATGCCCAAGAATCTAGTATGTTAGAGGAAAAAATGTTAGATAATAATCTTTGTTTGTTGTTTAATGCTGCAATCAACAATATTCCAGCCATATGGCGCCAATCTGTAAATAATAGCATCTGGACCAGACAATCAAGTGATCAACATCACGCGCATCAATCTGACACATGTGAACCAAGTCAGTGAGCCTGACCACCCGATCCTGTTAGTCACCAACAAGCATGGAATGCAGAAGACCAATTCTAACCGTGATCTTCACAGGTAAACAATCTTTGTTGTTATCACCAAAGTGAACGATACACCAGGTATCCAACAGAACCCTGTAAAATGTTTGGACGGGACAAACTGGTGATCAGTAATATGAACAAGATCTAACTCTGTCTGGATGTGATGACACGCAACAAGCCAAGTCCCCACAGATGACCATCTGATCAATACAGCTGCCTGACACGACAGCCATGGAATATGTTCGGCAGATGTAGATACATGTATACAACAGATGTGATCACCACACCTGACCATCTGATCAATATAGTCACTTCATGCAAGAAGCAGGGTATAACTGCTGGAGTCTCACAGGACAGATAGTGGCAAGAATCAACTTAGAGGTAAAGATGAGGTGAGGTGAAATTGGGGTTAACGTCGTGCTTGAGAACAATTCACTCATATGACGACGTGCTCGCATGTGCATGTGTATGTGTATGTGCGGCTGCTTGTACTAGCTGGTTTTATAGTGCTAGCCCACTGAGATACCATGCCGCAGTGAAGCATGAATACCCCACTCAGACACAGTATACTGACTCCGAGCCGATCAGTCCTTGTTGTACCCATTAATGCCGAGCACCAGGCAGGGACCAACAAGTACCATATTTTAACGTCTTTTGGTATGATGCGGTCGGGGATCGAACCCGCGACCTTCCGCTCTCCGGGCGGACGCTCTAACCACTTCACCACGGAGGAGGTCTAGAGGTAAAGGGGTGTCTGACCAAATGTTATTGGGAGTCTTCCAAGATATGTGAGAGGATGTATTTACCTTGATTCTCAGGTTGACAGGCAAACATAGAAACTACCAAGTGAGAGTGTGTGTGCATGCGCGCCCTAAATGTACTAGTCTAGACTAATCCAATTTTGCATGGTGCTGTTTCACTGAGAAACACTGGCTCCCAGCTACCCAGTCTTTGATTTATCAATTTAATTGCAGCTAATCCCAGGTAACTAAGAACAAGTACTACACTTTAATTTCTTTGGTATTGAACCCTCATCTTCTCCAGGCAGGCGTTGAGTCCACTAGACCAAGGGTCAGTCAAACAGACAACACATGATTTGTCAATGACAGAGATCACCTTTCGCAGTATCATTTGATAATGATTATCACAGAAACCCAATTATCAATTGTGAATCAATAGCTGAAAGTCAAGGATGATGCCATGAATGTTTGTAAAAAGTGAAAGTAGTACTTCCTGTCCTATCATATTTGCATAATTATCCATGATAACAGTGGATACTGCATTTCCGTGATGGATTTATCCTACCATTTAACCTTCCCATTTTATGCTAAATCCAATTATTTACCCACTTCCTATATATCTGCCACCAAGTCCCCGGCTGTTAGCCAATCAATATTCACTTGATCTCAGTTTCAATCAACAGGACACTGTGGAACACTCAAGTGTTTCATGTCAAATCAATTCTTCAATCAAATCAGTCTGCCAGTTCAGTATACGAAACCGCAGCTGGATTTCCCTGAAAAATTGACTTCAGTATTTTTATGGAGGTACAAACATAAGGAATGACGTTCACACTAGTTAATCTGCAGAGTTGATTTACGTAAAGTGCTGACATCGGTTTGCATTTTAACACCTCAATAAACACAGAAAACACATTGAAATCAATATTAATTAATACATTTATCAACAAAAACAACTTCACAGACAGGTTACTATACATTAACACCAAAAAAGCTACAGTACAAACATCAGTACAACACAATAAGTCAACATAAGATATACCTATTCCATCCTGAACCAATCAAGAAACAGGGGTCCATTAGTGGGTAGGAGCTAATAGATTCTCTGGAATACCTTGGTAGACTCCCCAAAACATTTAAGTAGACTCCCTTTTACTCATGGTTGATTCATGAAACGATGCTCATGACATCAATCACCAGTTTGTCTCTGTGTGGTGACTGTGTGTTTTATGTCAAGGATATACCACAAAATGTAGCCTGACATATTACGTACACCCTGCTAGTGAGTGAGTGAGTGAGTGAGTATGGTTTTACGCGGCTTTTAGCAATATTCCAGCAATATCACTGCAGTGGACACCAGACATTGGCTCCACACATTGTACCCACCTTCTAGCATGCTAATCACACAATTACCATTACATCTTAACAACTTACATTATACTTGCAGGAATATATTTGTGTCACATTTCAGCAATGTCTTACAGGAACAGGCCAATTGTTACATACATTCTTCAACAGCATTTTTTAATTAATATATTTTCCCGGGATATCTGGAACAAATTGTAACAACTCAAAATCAGAACCTGTATTTGAAACTGGACTTTTGGCATGATGAGAGGACACCTTGACGACAATGCTACACCATAAATCCCTTAAGGCAACTTCTAAAGTTAAAATGATGAAGCATGCCCATTCCATAATAAGATCTGGAGTAAAACATGGCAATACTTCAAGAGACAAATTCTACAAGCAACTACTGTAACATCCCAACCTGGGAGTGTACTACTACTACACTGAGGCCATGCTGACACATGTTCCCAATCTCATAAGGACATGATCAGAGCCCTAACATGAACAAGACCCTCGCCAGTGTTATTACTCTCTGGAGGATGTAAAACAGCAATAGCTTCACACACAAGTGCCCATCAATCCCTGCTTTTGATGTGCAACTAAGGAAATGAAATGCACAAGAAGGCTTCAGCCCCGAAACAACCATTTCACTACAGAAAGTGGAAATCATGACAGTCTTTTTCTTTGGCAATTTCATGCATTAATTGAAATTTCCAATGTCCATTATGGAATGTTTTTACACTTTGGATCGACTGTAAAATCTTTTGGGAAAGAATAAAGAGTGAAACCTTTGAAAGTAGCCCTTTTCACTTACCTCTGGGAAGAAATGTTGAGGGAATTTTGCCTTTTCTTTTATTTGAATGTTTTCTATGTTTCCAGATAAAACCTGAAAGAAAGAGAAAGATAACTAATTATGTATGGCTAGCCGCTTCTTCTGTAGATTGATTGAATGAATGTGATCTTCTGATATTTGAACTGAAGAATAGATGTGGTTTTCTGCCAGAGTCAGCAATGTTCCAGCCATCATGGCAGCATGTAATTAATCAAGTTAATTCCAGGAACACCACACTTGGATAACAGGTTATTCTGGGTTTCCATTGTTCCATGAGATCCAGCTGAGAGACATGCATGGTGCACAGGGAACAATTACTCTGTAATACATCCCAACTACCCATGAAGGCCCAGGTTAGAATATTGATCTTCAGTAACCCATGCTTGTCGTAAGAGGCGACTAACGGGATCGGGTGGTCAGGCTCGCTGACTTGGTTGACACATGTCATCGGTTCCCAATTGCACAGATCGATGCTCATGCTGTTGATCACTGGATTGTCTGGTCCAGACTCGATTATTTACAGACCGCCGCCATATAGCTGGAATATTGCTGAGTGCACGGTAAACCTCAACTCACTCACTCACTCACACCCCAACAGGGAGACAAGCAAGGGCAATGGAACATATTCTGCCAAGAACCCCAAGAGGAAGACAAGCAAGGGGCACTGGAATATATTCTGTGTCCTTACAGGGTCCAAGATCTGATGGGTGAGTGACCTTTTTATGCCGCTTTTAGCAATATTTCAGCAACATCACATCGGTGGACACCAGAAATGGGCTTCACATATTGTATTCATGTGGGGAATCGAACCTGGGTCTTAGGCGTGAGACGCAAACGCTTTAAACAACTAGGCTACCCCAACATGAATCGAACCCCTGTCTTCGGTATGACGAGCTAAAGTGATAACCACTAGGCTTACCCATCACCCCTAAAGATCTAATGAGACCTAACAATCTGGAAAGGCAGATGTACAATTCATTTCTCTTAAAACAAGACAATTAAGAATATCAATATAGGCTGGTCACAAATTCATTTTCTATTGGCCTACTGATAAAAGCTGTTTCTGGAGTCTCAAACCATCTATATTTTAAGTACTCTATCTGGCAACTCAGAAGACCAAGCATGGGGTTCTTGAAGATCACATTGGTTGAGTTCAAGATTCAGGATGGACCTGGAATCTTTGATTTTTGGTATTATAAAAAGCATATAAATGTTACAAACTCTAAATCTTTAATTTTTAATAGAACAGTTGTGACAAGAACCCCATAATCTTATTAAATATCTGCCAATTATCATATTTAACGCTTCTGAAAGTTTTGCATCCTTAACAACGTAGGGCAATAAACATCAAGCACTTTCAGTCTCAATGTCTCCATGTATAATCAATCATCATGAAAAATGCCAAATTTCAAATTACACTCATCAAATTCTCCATATTCATCTCTTGTAACTTATAATTTCCAACTATGATAAAAAATTCAGGAACAGATGAGGCAGCTGATGGTGAAATCATTATGTGAGGACATAAAGTGTCATGGAAGCTTGCAGTGGAAATCTGATTGGTCATGATGAACTGGTGTAGTAGAGGCCATGAGTTGGCAGGCATCACTGCAATGTCCTATTGACCTCGCTCAACAAGGTCATGACTAGGTAATGACGTAATCTTTCACTCACCTCACGTCCTTCCACCGGAACAAATTTATTTTCTGAAAAAGAAACAGCATATTATAGTTAAATCTGGCAAAGTAGATAGTTTAGATTAGACTAAGAGATGGACTGACTGACTGACTGAGTTTGGTTTTATGCCGCTTTTAGCAATATTCCAGCAACATCAAGGCGAGGGACACCAGAAATGGGCTTCACACATTGTACCCATGTGGGGATTCGAACCCGGGTCTTCGGCGTGAGGAGCCAACGCTTTAACCACTAGACTACCCCACCGCCCCACTAAGAGATGGAATACACTGCAACTTGCATTGGATAAATTCATTAAACTGTTGTTTTACCAGGTAATGTTTAATCCATTCTAAACATACCACATATTGCCATCTTTTAGGCAAGATTCTGCCATGTCAGAATTGGGGTATTTGAGGTGTGCACAGGTACCTTCTTTGAACGCATCCAGCCAAGGTAGCTTCTGTGTACACATGTGTATCCTAAGTACCATCTATGTACATACATATCCCAGGTACCTTCTGTGTTGGTTAGGATTACGGTAGTAAAACCACTTGCAGCACATTTTGCTAACAAGCAAGTTTAAGTGGCAGCCAAACTGAATCGGTTCATGCATTGAGAAAATAAACAGGTATGATTGTAATCATTTCGGTATGATTCTGTGATAACTGTACGGGAAACTTGCAACCATAATCCAGAGGGAATGTTTACGACATAATTATGCATGGTTGTAATGCTAGGGTATATTTAAGTAAACCGAAGGTATGTGTTCACATCTGCACTGAAAAGAGTGAGTGAGTGAGTTTAGTTTTACACCGCACTCAGCAATATTCCAGATATATGGCGGCGGTCTGTAAATAATCGAGTCCGGACCAGACAATCCAGTGATCAACATCATCAGCATCGATCTACGCAATTCGGAACCGATAACATGCGTCAACCAAGTCAGTGAGCCTGACCACCCGATCCCATTACTCGCCTCTTACGAAAAGCACGGGTTAATGAAGATCAATATTCTAACCCGGATCTTCACGGGTCATGCACTGAATAGAACCCCAACAGCACAATTCACAGACAGGACCAGGGCCCCAGTTCATACAGCTGTCATAGTGCTATGTCATAAGTCTAAGTTACAGAATAGGAGGTATGACAGTCATAGCACTACGATAGCTTTGTAAAACGGGGCCCTGTATAGGAGGCATGACAGTCATAGCACTACGATAGCTTTGTAAAACGGGGCCCTGTATAGGAGGTATGACAGTCATAGCACTACGATAGCTTTGTAAAACGGGGCCCTGTATAGGAGGTATGACAGTCATAGCACTACGATAGCTTTGTAAAACTGGGGCCCTGTATAGGAGGAATGACAGTCATAGCACTCACGATAGCTTTGTGAAAACGGGGCCCTGTATAGGAGGTATGACAGTCATAGCACTACTGATAGCTTTGTAAAAACGGGGCCCTGTATAGGAGGTATGACAGTCATAGCACTACGATAGCTTTGTAAAACGGGGCCCTGTATAGGAGGCATGACAGTCATAGCACTACGATAGCTTTGTAAAACGGGGCCCTGTATAGGAGGCATGACAGTCATAGCGCTACGATAGCTTTGTAAAACGGGGCCCTGTATAGGAGGTATGACAGTCATAGCGCTACGATAGCTTTGTAAAACGGGGCCCTGTATAGGAGGTATGACAGTCATAGCACTACGATAGCTTTGTAAACGGGGCCCTGTATAGGAGGTATGACAGTCATAGCACTACGATAGCTTTGTAAAACGGGGCCCTGTATAGGAGGTATGACAGTCATAGCACTACGATAGCTTTGTAAAACGGGGCCCTGTATAGGAGGTATGACAGTCATAGCGCTACGATAGCTTTGTAAAACAGGGCCCTGTATAGGAGGTATGACAGTCATAGCACTACGATAGCTTTGTAAAACGGGGCCCTGTATAGGAGGTATGACAGTCATAGCGCTACGATAGCTTTGTAAAACGGGGCCCTGTATAGGAGGTATGACAGTCATAGCACTACGATAGCTTTGTGAAACGGGGCCCTGTATAGGAGGTATGACAGTCATAGCACTACGATAGCTTTGTAAAACGGGGCCCTGTATAGGAGGTATGACAGTCATAGCACTACGATAGCTTTGTAAAACGGGGCCCTGTATAGGAGGTATGACAGTCATAGCACTACGATAGCTTTGTAAAACGGGGCCCTGTATAGGAGGTATGACAGTCATAGCGCTACGATAGCTTTGTAAAACGGGGCCCTGTATAGGAGGTATGACAGTCATAGCACGCTACGATAGCTTTGTAAAACGGGGCCCTGTATAGGAGGTATGACAGTCATAGCACTACGATAGCTTTGTAAAACGGGCCCTGTATAGGAGGTATGACAGTCATAGCACTACGATAGCTTTGTAAAACGGGGCCCTGTATAGGAGGTATGACAGTCATAGCACTATGATAGCTTTGTAAAACGGGGCCCTGTATAGGAGGTATGACAGTCATAGCACTACGATAGCTTTGTAAAACGGGCCCTGTATATAGGAGGTATGACAGTCATAGCACTACGATAGCTTTGTAAAACGGGGCCCTGTATAGGAGGTATGACAGTCATAGCACTACGATAGCTTTGTAAAACGGGGCCCTGTATAGGAGGTATGACAGTCATAGCACTATGATAGCTTGGTAAAACGGGGCCCTGTATAGGAGGTATGACAGTCATAAGCGCTACGATAGCTTTGTAAAACGGGGTCTTGAGTAACATAACTTCTGTCCTATCCCTCTAAGAGCTGCTGTATTACAGTTCTGTGAATTATTAAAGTTTTCACTAAGCCATATAAGCCAGTGTTTCATTTCACTTTTTATTCCAAGGATATCACATTCTGACATTCATTCACTTTAAACACAAACTCAAGCAGTGCATCGTTCATTGGGTAACTTGATTCTCTGTAGAGAAACCATAAATACAACTGCTAACTGAATAAAAAGAGTTGAATTTCATAAAATTACATGTATTCTGACATTATATCAAGTAAAGAAATATAGTGTATGGAAATGGAAGCCATGTATTCAAATTACATTGACGACAACTTCGTGTTCTCTGACTCCCTGGTGACTGTCAGATGCAATAATAGAGCATCTCTCTGACAGACATATAAAGTACTAGTTGTGGCTTCATAACAGCATTATTTCTTCTACTAAAAGCAGGAATGAAGCTGGCATGGAATACAGGAATAAGCCAGTTGTCTACAATTGTCTCCACAGTAATCCTGATGCAATCTACCCTATAATGAGTGAGGTTGCTTACTTATTGTTTAACACTGCACGCTGCAATACTCCAGCTTCTTGACAGTGGTCTGTAAATAATCATGTCTGGACCAGTGAGTGAGTGAGTGAGTGAGTGAGTGAGTGAGTAAGTGAGAGTGAACGAGTGAGTGAGTGAGTGAGTGAACGAGTGAGTGAGTGAGTGAGTGAGTGAGTGAGTGAGTGAGTGATGTGAGTGAGTGAGTGAGTGAGTGAGTGAGTGAGTGAGTGAGTGAGTGAGTGAGTGAGTGAGTGAGTGAGTGAGTGAAGTGACATTAAGAATGGATCAGAAGGAAAACCAGGATTTTGATTGGTGAATGAAGTTAGGCCTTTAAGTGAAGGGGCAACCTTTAACATATGCACACCAGATCTTTGAGTTCAAGACTGTTCATAACATCAACCACTAGTTTCCTTGGCTCAGAATCAACTTCACCATCACCAAGCATGATTATTACCAAGTGCAATGTGAAACAACAAACACCAAGTATTATTTATATTTTAACAGCAGCCTGTAATTATACTTGTGGGGATGGAAGAACATGCGATTGACATCAAATTAGGTGAAACAAATATACAAACATGGAGACAGAGCCATCTTGTACATGTTCCTTTACAGCTGAGACACACAGGCATGTTTACAGGTCAGATCTACATCAGTGCCTTGCATAATTCTATTACCATCATTACTGAGCTGGAACATTCCTTGCAGAGAAGATAACCAAACATGACTGGCATCTCCAAAATCACAATCACACCTCAACAATTCTGATGTAGCCAGGGCATACTCATCTAACTGTCTTCATAAATCTGTGTTTTTTCATTCTTACCTCTTCTCTATGCATGGAGTTATACCGATACACGGGCTGAATACAAATGGAAAATGGCAGTCGGATTTTTAGGCAATATGGATTTTCTGTCAAAAGGTCTGCAGAAGATATAAGTGGAACCCTTGTGTAAGTTGTGGAGTCACCGGACAACTGAGACTTATAACAGCAACACAACCTAGTTGTCGGAAGTACATTGGATACAATGGCTGGTCTTCAACAAGCCAAGCCAATTTATAGAATTACATTCTGGCATGTATCCTGTAGCTCTAGCAGAATGTGCACATTTTATATGCTTGCAAATTACTTCACACCCACAAGTGATGCATCTTCTTACTTCGGGACACAATGCCAGTTATTCTTTTCCTAGTTTATATGCAGCTTCAGAATTGGTGAGAAATGAGACTAGGAGAAGCGTCTAACTCTGTTTATTATTCTGCTCATCTCACATGCCATGACTGCAGAACACTTTTACTGAAATGACCTCCTCAAATGGGAGTCTCTGCATGGAAAACACTTATATTTTTAGAAGTCGGAAATGAACTAGTCTGATTGTAGGCTTAGCTGACAGTAAATATTATTATCTTCTCACCATCATGCTAACTTCAGATCTCGCAGATACAGAGGCTCACGGTGCCAACTTGATGTTGCATGATGTTGTGCATGGTTCAGAATCCTCCATACCACTGATATGGGTTTGAATCCTAGTTTTAGACGCTTGGTGTATCACCACCATACCACAGTCATGGATAAATTATACCTCCACATATAACCTCCTAACCAACTTTGTCAATTTCATTATAATCATTAGAAATATGCAGACCTCTTGCATGAAATCTAATACTACCAGATGACCTGACTTTTGGACTACTGGGTCTGAGTATTGTCATGCAAACCT